AAGAGGAAAACACCAAGGACTGAGCCTGAGGGTTTAAGTTCTAATAGTGAGAACTACTAAAGAGTTTTATTTGAGTTCTACTTTGAAAGTATTACAGGGCTTCTCACATGTATGTACTTCAGCTGGAGTAGAGGTATGTTTAGTTATGCATATTGAAATAGAACCCTTCCTATTGTGAGCCTTCTGTAAATCCAGCACGGCCAGATAAATGTATTCACCAGAGAGACCGTCAGGGTGCGCTGGCTCGCTCACTCACTCTGTTTGTTTACTTACGGCCTTTGTTTATTCTCATCCAGGTGACATCTTCATCTCCCAGTTACTTGTGTAGGTGGTTTAAATGCAAGGCGTGTCTTGCAGCCGAAGAGGTCTGTGCACAGCAGCAGGCTCGCTTGACACTCACGAGGACTGACCGCGCTCGTGATGGGTTTCCTCTGGATGTTCACAGAGTCGTTTGTTGGTTTGTGTCTCTCTGGCCTTTCCAGGGTAGAGGAATTATTTACATGTTACTGTTTAACCTTTCCAGAGGTAGTTGGTTTTTTTTTGTCTGCTAAGCATGGTATAATAGGTCGTGAAGAAGGTTAGAGGAAGAATACCATTCAGCTGTCCCTCGTTAGAAAGAAGGTCTCCCTTCCCCTTTTCTTCAAGTCTTCTAAAAATGTTTCAACCCAGGAAATTGAATGTTTCATTAGGAGACATTAGGGGAGTTATTTTAAAGGCAGATTTAAAAAAAATCTTAATCACTAATGTATTCTGCATACTGAAATCTAAATGAAAAGGGAGTATAGATTGGTGTTGCTGAAATTTCCCACTTTTTCATCTTGTGGGCGTGGTTAAATATTTAAGTGTATCTGCTGAAGGAAATAAGAACTTGATGTTGTGATCGAAGTATTATACCAGCCATAAACTATCCATCTTTCATGTCTCTTACAGCTCTCTGCATTAACTAGCGGTAATGACCTGGCGATAGACTGTTTGAAATAGCATAGTCTTCTTTTTTTCTTCACATAAATTGAGGTCGTTATCTATTACTACAGCCTGTTCTTATTGCCACATACATTTTTACAGAAGTGTTTCTCAGTTCAGTCAAATTTATTTCCTTATAAAAATACCAAGATGCGATGCCATAATGCCAACAAAATATATATGTATGCATTGGATATAATAAGAAAAACCAGCTCTTTTTATTGGACTATACGTTTTGAGTGTCTTCCCAGGTTTAGCATGCATTTTGTCTGTTTGGTTTGTTTTGGGGGAAGGTTGGGCAGGAAGGTGGGGGTGAGGATGAGAGGCTAGAATGTATCTGAGATTTTCCCCAAGGATGTAGCAGCCTCTGATGGCCTGTGGTACCTATGGCGGAGTCATACTACGGAATCATAGGCGTACTTAGTGTAGGGGGTGTGACTGCTGATATTATAGAGCAGCTGCTAGAAACTGACTCTTTGATTTGCAGTATAGGGAACTAAAATCCAGAGAATTGAAGTGATATTGTCCTTTGTCACCTAGCTAGTTAGCAGCTGAGCTGGAAGCAGTACTTGGGTTTCTTGATTCCAAGTCCAGAATTCCCCTCAATATGTCTCTTATAAAGATATGGTGAATTTCTTTACATAAAATTCAGTAGATTTTTTTTTTGTGATGAATAATGATTAAGCTATTATTAAGCTAGCTTCCCCAACTTGATGGGTTGAAAGCATAACTAAGCATTCAAGAATGTATTTTTTTTCCTAAAATTCTATGAAATGGTCTTTGGAGACATGGAATAGATATTTCAGTCATGACTCTCCTGATTGGGAAGAAGTGTTTAATATCCATACTCTGTGCGTAGAAAATTCATACCGAACAAGTAAGAACTTTCTCTGCATTTTAAGTACCGGCTCGTCAGCAGGGTGAACCGTGCTCTGGGTATCTTGGGTTCAATGCATAGTTCAGAACCGATATTCTCCATCCACTCCATCTCCCACAAATCTCAGATGAAAAAGCATGCTTCAGGGTACTTAGGGTGTCCTATCTAAAATGGTCTGGGGGAAAGATATTGATTCTAGAATCCCTCTAATGTCGCTAGATTAACCAAGCACCTTGCCTTGACTTTGCTCTGGGACTAAGTGGAAGCCTTACAGGATAAAGCGAAGTAGGAAATCCAGGGGCATAAAAGTTATTGCAAACATAGCCAGATACTTTTTAAAAAAGGAATACAGAGTTTTCCTTTGGCTCAGAAGTTTACTCCTACAATACATTGCTCAATCATTTACTTTGCCACTTTGAAATGCATGCTGTCACTGAGATTATTTATAAACTTGTATTCTTTGCCCTATTAAGAATGGAAGCTTTATAACATCATCTTTTATTACTTAAAGCTTTATATCTCTAATGAGTACTTTATAACTGTTGAAATACATATGACATAAGATCCTATCCTCTTTTCCTATAATACTTGATGACTATCTTAGTAACACATTTCTGGAGAGAATCAAATTAAATATAATATAACACATTAATGACCACACTAATTCTGTTGCCGCTGCTACTACTACTAGGTGAAGACGTGGGGGAGATGGGAGAAGCACTTAGTTTGTATGGAAGGCATTGTTTTGAGCACTTCTCAAAAATCATGTCACTTCATGCAATCCTTACAACAAAGTTATCACCATCTGCACTTTACAAAGGAAGTTTCTTGTCGCCAAGTTCCTTGCCTGTGGTCACGCAGCTGGCAGATAAGTCCAATGCCTGAGTTCCTACTTTTAACTGATGCAGCACACGTCGGCGTATCGCCGGGTCCTGGGTTCGGCTGTGGCAAGTCTACCTTCCGCTCCAAATCATGATGTGCATGGTTCGCTTCAGTTCAAGGAAAGCATTTAGAACATTATATATAGGCGTTGCATTAAGCTACCTCAGCTTGTTCAAGGAAAAAAAAATTTAAACAATTCTTCTGAGAAGATATAGATATTTTTAATTATTATTAATGATCAGTTTGGGGGAGAAAGTCTACAAATCCCTTAGGAAAAATATTGTAAGTGGTACCAATGAGGGTTCTAATCAATGAACTATTTAACTATTAGGTACTGAACAACTGTAGAGTTATGTCACGTCATAATTTATGACAAGTTGTTATGTCATTTTCAGTGGGGAAAGGGTATAGTGAGTTATTTAAACCCACCCCAGAACTGAAGCTCATGTAGTTTTTCACACCGGCACAGATTATGCTGTCATCCGTGTGCACAGCCTCTCGGTGATGAATACATGTTCTGTGTTAATTTTAAATAATTGAGTCAATATTATGATTTATACTGATTTAAAAATTGCCAAGAAGCATTTTACATTTTAGTGAGAAATATTAATATGCTATTTAATAAGTAAATAACTTTTTATGTACATAATTTTTATTTTATTACATTATAACATTAGCTGTGTATGTCAACAGAATTTTCTATTTCAGTTTTCTCAAAAGCATAATTCATGATCTAATAACATAATCATTACTTAGCTATTATTTTTATTAGCCTTTTGGTAAACTACTTATACTAATTTTCCCATGCCTCTTTTTTGAAATGTCCAATAATAAAATAGTGACATTTAGAAGGAATTGGTTGAAAGAAAGACAGTGTTGGTATTCAGATCATAGTTAAAAACAAATTTCAGAAAAGAACATGACTAAATAAAGAAAACTGTCATGTAACTACTGTTAGTCAATTAGTCTTAGACAGAAGTTACAACAACACTTAAAACTAGCGGGGTGACGAGCTACCTATTTTCAAGAAAAGAGGTTCAAAGGAAAAATAGCATTACTGTGACAATGTTTCTGTGGTACGATGGCATCATTTATTCTGTATATTTTCTTGTCCAGAGAAAGAAATTAGAGAACCCTTTACCTTGAGCAAATCTTTCCATCTTTTTGAGTCTCTGTTTTTTTCATTCTGAGAAAACAATAGGTTGTACTAAATGATCTCCACGATTAATTTCTGCTCTGCGTGTACCTTAACTTTCTTGTGTTTGCTCGGAGAGACTCCTTGTTACCTAGTCCCTTAGAAAGTAAAAGTGATGTTCGGGCAAAGACACAAAATGAAACTCAGCAGCCAATGGCCCGGTGATAGAGGCCTACAGGGATGTTGATTCTCTTTGTAGCATCCGGCTGCATTTTCTGTGATAGATGTATACAGCATCCCATGCATCTGGCTTAGCGGGCCGCCGTTGATGCTGGACCGAGGTGTGGAGGCTGCCAAACAAGGCCCGACCGGCGGCTCCCGAGGCCGCTCCCGACAGCCCGGCGGAGCTCCCCCCTCCCCCCAAAGCCGTCGTTGACAATCCATGCACTTACCTTACAGACGCATCATTGATTTTCTTGTGAAATTAAAAACAACACCAACATTAACATGCGCCCATGTGTTTTAAGCAGATTTGTTTAATTAAAACCAGCGAAGGAAATAGCAGTGTTAGTGGTTTTCAGAAACAAATATGTTTGGACATACTGTAGTCCTTTCTCATCCACCGGGGATACGCTTCAAAGTCCCCAGAGGATGCCTGACACTGCGGGTTTGCCAGACCCTGTGCCACACCCTGTGCTCTGTGTCTTCCCTATACACACATGCCCACGACAAAGTTTAATTTATAAACTAGGCACACCAAGAGATGAACAACACGAGTAATAAAGTAGAACAATTATAACGTTATGCTGTAGTCAAAGTTATGTGCATGTGGTCTTTTTCTCTCAGAATATTTTATTGTGTCCTATGTCCTGGGTGGAGATGCCGGACAAAGGGATGATTCATGTGCTGGGCAAGGTGGGGCAGGACTCTGGGAGATTTTATCATGCCATTCAGAATGGCATGCATTTTCAAAACTCATGAATTGCTTATTTGTGGGATGTTTCTACTTCATATTTTTGGCCCACACTTAATAGGAGGTAACTGAAATCACAGGAAGTGAGACCGCTGGTAAGGGGGGGGCTGACTGTAATTTCAGGAAAGACGAGGTTCTTACCTTTCCATCGTGTTTATTTCTGGTTGCAGAACTTCCGATGGTGGCAAAGTCGTTGGCACCATAGAAGTCAGTGTCGTGAAGATGGGGGAGATTGAGGACGGGGAAGCCGACCACATCACGACAGATGTGCAGGGACAAAAGGTAGGGTCTCAGCCAGCTCACCGCACAAATTAAATGGGAAACGATCATCTTTGCCAGATGCTCGAGTCACCGGCAGCCCTGTGGGGCATGCAGTCTCATTATTCAAGAGCTAAATGGGAAGGAATCAGCTCTGGAACTGGAGTACCGTGCGCGTGTTTCATGCCCTGAACAAGAAGGCTGTTCTCAGAGGGACTCTGCAGAGCCAGGCGCCCCCAGGGACACCTTCTTCCTCACCACTGGCTCCCTCCCAGGTGGACTCCGCCCCTTCTCAGTGGGAACCAAAGTGCAGATCCGGGTGGCATTTTCCCATAATCAGCCCTTCCTGGGATGCCCAGACAATTCCTGGAGGGCTGCCGCCAAAAGCAAGCTCTTTGGAAAAAGATGCAGTGTGAACTTGGATTTCATTTTCACATGAGGGGGGGACAGATTCAATAACATTGTGCCTCATGCGAGTGCAGAGAGAGAGGCAGGAAACGGTACCCAGCAGGGTGGCTGCTCTGCATGGGGGGGCAACGTGGGTGCTGGGGGCCCAGTGGCTTCCTTGAAGTCCAGGATGAAGGCCAATGTGTATCAAGGTGTGCCTGGGATTTTTAACTTTCTTTCTACTCCCTTTTTTCCAAGGAAGAGAAACTTGAGACCTAGTATTATCCTAAATTTCCATCTTAGGAATGCAACTGCCTGTTGTATTGAAGCACAGGGGGCAGACTTAAAAACTGCTAATAGTTTTTTTTTTCAGGAAAATGAGTTTGTGTGTCTGTTAAAATTCCTACATTTTTGTAAATGAACATTTTCTTTAAAAAATGATAAGACCTAGTCTGACTTAATGTCTGGCTTAGTGTCTCTTATCTGGGAGCATTTGGATTCTTGTAGTAAGGAAACATTTACACAGAAGATGGCATTTATGTAACACTTAAAAATTATTGATTATACAAAATATATCTAAGACTGTGCTTCAAAAATATACTGTTCTTGCCCCAGGGGAGGCCAGGGTCTTATCTGCTTCTCAAGCCTTCTTCTTCTGTTCCCTTCCTCTCCCTTGGAGCATATGGGAGTTCATGAAAATATTCCGAGGAGGCCCGAAGTTCGAATCAGATTTCTTTTATTTATTTATTTATTTATTTATTTATTTATTTATTTATTTATAGAGAAGGAAGGGAGGGAGATAGAGAGAGAGAGAGAAACATCAATGTGCGGTTGCTGGGGGTCATGGCCTGCAACCCAGGCATGTGCCCTGACTGGGAATCCAACCTGCAACACTTTGGTTCGCAGCCCATGCTCAATCCACTGAGCTACGCCAGCCAGGGCTGAATCAGATTTCTTCCAAATGTTAGATGTCAGGGTTGTGGTGGAGTTTCATAGCAGTCCTCTGAGGATTTGTGCAATCCAGATGCCTGTTTGGGGGCCAGGTCCCTTCATTCGATCCTCCTGTCCTTTGGAGTTCTATATAAGCCCATTGCAGTCACCACCGCGTGGGTGCTGGGATGTAAATAAAGGAGAAAGGATTTAGGGCGGAAGCGGGGACTGAGAGCAGAAATAGGCAGATAAGTGTCTGGACTTGTGGCTGCAAGCTGGGGAGGGCCAGGAGCAGACACACGTCCCATTTCAAAGTTGAGTTCCTTTCCCTGTTACTGGCCGCTCTGTCCTCAAAGCTCACCAGCCCAGTGAACCCTTCACTGTGCTGCTGTTACGAGGCAGAACAAATGGAATCATGCTCTTTGTATAACTGGAGAGCCCGATACACAGGAATGTGCCCCACCCAAGTCGTACTTTATGTTTCTGACCCAGAAATGTGGACTTAAGAGAGACTCAATTAAGCAGTTCTAGAAATAGGAGGTGACAGGGTTAGCACAAATTGTGCCCGAGTCCCAGGTGACAAAAATGGTAAGCATACCCAGCTCTGCTGGCCTTACCTTTGTCCTATCTGAATTCTGAGTAGACTTTGACCTTTTGCAAGGTTTTTAATAAAGTTGCTATAAACTCTGTTGGCGGTCCCTGGGCGTATTCGTGATTACTCAATCAGGACGTGGAGTAAGTCCACTCTGCACGATACTCAGAACGGTCATGTAGAAATAACTTTATCTCTGTGTTTTTCAAAGTGTGGTCAGTCATCAGGCTGTTTGTTGGAAATGCCAGCGCAAAGACCCTTCTGCTGACTTGCTAAATCGAAACCACTGAAGTGCGTTAACACAATTTGTTACTAATGGAGATTTAAGTCCTGAAGTCAGCGAAGGACTGAAGCATATGAAAAGGCGGAGTCACGGGAAGAAAGGGCACCCCTCTCACTGGTGTGCACAAACGGGGGAGAAAGAGATGGAGCTACTCGTAGACCTGTAGTCATGAGGGCGAATGACCCACCGTGTCCCCCATGCATATTGAAGCAGATAAAAGATTAGTAACTTTATTAATCGGCTCAGCTGCCATAATGAAATGTCATAGACTGAGTGGCTTAAACACCGAAATTCATTTTCTCACAGTTGGGGAGAATTAGGAAGTCCCGTGTCAGAATGCCAGATGATTCGGTTCCTAGCTATATAGCTCTCTCCCTGGTAGGCAGGCTCCTTGCTGTGTGTGCCTGTGGCCTTTCCTCGGTACATTGCAGAGTGAGAGACAGAGCAAGAGCGAGAGCGAGAGTGAGAGAGAGCCAGAGTGAGAGCGAGAGAGAGAGAGAGAGAGCATGCACTGGGGTGTCTCCTTCTCTTCTTGTAGCGCACCAGCCCTATTGGATTAGGGCCCCATCCTAATGACCTCGTTTAACCTTGATTAACTCTCTAAAGGTCCTGTCTCCAGATACATTCATATTGGGTGTTTGCGCTTCAACATGTGAATTTTAAGGAACACAATTCAGTTCTCAGCAATACCTCTGATATAAAATACTGCATTTTAATTTTGAATTTTACATAGCCTTCAGAGCATGAAATAAAATATAAAAAAGTACAAACTCCTCTCATACACATTTACTTACTTGTTTCCTCAAATCATATTATTAATATACAAGGTGGGGCAAAACTAGGTTTATAGTTGTTTGTATGAAAAATAATACAATGATTAATAAATAACAACACAAGAATAAATTCTGTGTTTTGCACACTCACTGCTGTAAACCTACTTTTGGCCGCACTCTGTATATTTTTCACCCAGGGAAGATGGAACAGGGGGGTATTCACCATTCTGCACCAGTTCCAACTTTTATTTGATATAAGTATACATGGGAATAGAAGACAAAGTGTTTGTATGACATAGCAGTAGAAAGAAAAAAATCACACAAAAAAATACTAACCTTGTCCTTGTACAGAGCCAATATATTAGGTGAATTTTTGCACGAGGTATCCCAACTTTTGTTTCCATTTTGGAGTTATTTTTGACTCCTTCCTTTTCCTCATATTCACAGAGAACATGTCAGCAAACCCTGTTGATTCCGACTTCTTAATGAATCCGGAATCCGAGGACTCGTGACCCCTTCACTGTTGCCAACACTGACTGTCACTTACGTTTTCACAATAGTCTCTTAAATGTCTCCCTGCATCCCTCCTCCCTCCTGCCAACCCCACCCCAGTCTGTTCTCAGCAGAGTACTTATTAAAATGGAATGCACAACATGTCATTCCTCCAGTGGCTGCTTACCTCCCTGAGGGCGTGACCCCAAATCCTTCCAGGGACCTGACTTCGAGTCCCACACACGCTGCCCCCGTTGCTTTGTTCACCTCACACTCACACTCAACTCCATGTTTTTTTTGCTCACTTCCACCCAGCCACATTAGCCTGCTGGGCGCCACAGAGGATGCAAAAACAAATGTTATCAGGGACTTCCAGGAGACTCGAGACCAAATGTAAAGAACCATGATTTAAGGAATAAACTAACAGATATGAAAGTGCATTGCCAGGAAGTATTGGTCTTGCAGGGATTCCTGCAGAGCTTTATGATCATTGTTCTTACAATTTGGCTAATTTTCTAGCCCAGTGAATAGCAAATTGATACGTTCTGTGGCATTTAAAATCATTAAGCTCCAAGAATTTTACATATCTTGTTTCTTCTGCTTGGCCACAATTACCATTAATGGCACTTCTTAAAGTATTCATTAAAATGAGTAGGTGTATGGAGCTACAGGTGGTCCAAAAAGTGCGCAATGCTTGCTCAGAGTCACAAAGTGAAGTCATTACACTGTGAGCACACACAGTATAAGTGTGTGATGCTGTGAATACCCGTCACTGTGATAAGAATGAACAGCAGATGCAGCTTAAGCCTCCTTCAGCACAGATGCCGCATCTTCTTCTAGCGTCTCCATTCTCTGTAACGTCTTAGCACAGTGTAAAAATGGTTCTAGGGTCAGCTGTAACAATATAAAATAAAATGGGCTAAGGCAATAAGAAATTGATTTTTTTGTTTAAAAAATCTTTCAATCTAAAGAGAGATATAAGCTGCACTCGGGGAACAATTGAAGAAAATAATTGCCAAGTCAAAGTATGACAATATTAATTAGCTTAGTAAATATTTATGGGATAATATCTGTTTATGTTTCATGAATTTAAATCTTGAGATCCTTGTGAATAGCAGAGCTTTAAATACAATACAAAAATTGCAAGATAAGAATGTTATTAGGTTAAAATCGTCCTAAATTTCTCCCCCCTGCCCCAGTGTGGACGGGATTATGGATGTATGACATCACGTTTCTGTATCCATTTGTCAACATCGCAGGCTTCCGGGTAGGAAACAGAAAGTCAGCTTTGGTTCCACGAAAGCAGGGGTGTCTCCATGCTGGGGAGCAACTTCTCAGGATGACAGCCTGATCCCTGTGAATAATGGACTCCTTCACTGAAAGGGTTTCATCTAAACTGTTTGCCTAAGCTGTATTGTAGATGATGATCTGCTTTTGGACAGGAGGATGGCCTGTAGCTATATACCTGGTTCTCATGTGGAAGGGTAGCAGAGATGAGTCAGGGAAGGATGTGAAGTCCAGTCTGAGGTTACAGGATTTGATGGGGCAGTAAATAACCACTGTGCATTCTAGAACAGAACATTGATATGATGAATGTAGTGTTTATGAAACGTTATTTTAACAGCCCTATGTAGGTTGGAAGGAGAGAGGAAATAATAGGAAATTGTAGAGATAAAGGGTTTTAAGGATGTCTCAGCATCGCTGCACACTCCTCTTACGATTTAGAAAGTGCATTTCCAAAATAGCTGTGGATTAAAAAAATGCAGAGGCCTCTTCTGACTTCTGATTGGTCATAATTTAGAGAACATCAAATTTTAAGAGCTGTTTGCAGTTATCTATTCTTTCAATGAACTAGGACCTCAATATAAGTACTCGAGAAATTTTCTGAGTAATGTGATAAATGTTCTGATCGAAGAATAAGTAGTGGACTATAAGAATACAGAACGTAACATTTAAATCAAGGATTAAATGAACATCTGGAAATGCTTGAAGGAAATATGTATTCAATCATCATCAGTGACCTCAGTGGCCATGACTCTCGCAGGCGTCCAGGACCGGGGGGCGGCGAGTGGAGGGAGACCCGTGGTCAGGGCGGGTAGGGAACGGCCCCCACAGTTCTGATGCACGGTCCTAGGGAGGCTGGGCTGAGTCTGTGGGGCCCCTTGAGCAAAGCCGTGAGCCCCCCACAATGGCTGTGTCCCTCAGAACTCCTCACCAAAAGAACATTTCGGGTTTTTGTTTTGTTTTCATCTGCATTCATTTGTTTGTGTTTGACATATTTGCTTTGAAAATTCATTCTTTTCCTTCCCTTGGCTTTTTTCTTTTTGTTTGTTTGTTTTTTTGGCTGGAGATAGAAGGAAACTCATTTGAAGAAAACAAATGCTGGTGCCAGTGTGAAAATAGGGGCCAGAAGACTTTTGCTTCCCGTTACTTGCAATTTCATGGGAAGCTGAAGGAGAGTCCCACGCTTACTCATAGATTATCTGGGATATTGTCTCTCACTTGTGCTTACTCACTGGGGACACGGGAACATTGTCCCCTGACTCTCTCCTCTTTCCTGTCTAGAAAGTCGTTGGCTCTGCAAACGGCTCAGGGCCTGTGGCCTCTGGGTCAGCTTAAGTATGAATTGCCCAAACGCTCAATGAGCGAGTGTTTGCATTGTTTTGCTGGAGACAAAACTCTTCTTTTTCTTTTGTACTTAGATGTCACAGCATATTTCATTTTGTATTTAAAATCGCCCTTACTTAAAGGCTAGAAAATAACTTGCTTTTTATTGATTCACAATCATCCCTGCTGTTAGGAAAACAAAATCCTTCAGCTTGTCATATGTGATTTGCTGTAGTAGGAACATCTGGGGACATTCCTTTCCCACTTTTTACTTTCTTTCCTGGGTCATCTTTAACCAGAACCGAACTGTAGTCTGCCATTATATAATACAATCATGTTATATTCAAAAAGTCATAAGATAAGCCAGTTTGATCATAAAGCCAAACCTGCAAATAGATGTACAACATGTCTTGTTTAGAATTTTTGAAACCACGTGCATAGCTTCGTGTTTTGCAAACAATGTCAAAGAATTTGCTTATTTTGATTATTGACAAACATGTTTTCTTTCCCCGTTTCTTTTATTTTTCCCTAGTGTGCACTGGTATGTGAATGTACAGCCCCAGAGAGTGGGAGCGGAAAAGACAACTTACCCTTTTTGAACGCAGGTAGGTACTTCAGCTCTAGAACCTTAGTTTCACCTGAACATAAACTTTAATTTCCTGTGAAATCACTGCGGAGCCTGGGCGGCCTGCTCGCAGAGTCATTTATGAACACTGAGTGATCGAATCGGTCACTGTGAGGTGCCAGTGTGGTAGACGTGACTAGTTTCTATGCAAGACATATAGATAACTTTCTAAATCTTTGTACAAGGATATATCAATCCTGTTAGCTGTTGGATTTTGTGTTATCAGAAACAAGACACACTGGAAGACAGAGTAAGTGTTAGAAATGCGAAGCTCTTATTTAGCTTGACTTCCTCATTATAGAACTCAGATTAAAGTGGCTGAAACAGTAGATATATGGACCTGGTGGGAAAATCCACACACGTGTTTGTGCATTCTGGGGTGTGTGTGCATCTGCTGTATTACTCATAGTAATATATTTGAATTTCAACAAGGCTCTTAGCAATATGCTAAATTATGACCTTGTAAATAAAACTGACACTTATGCTCCAGTTAAAAAATGTGTGATAAAAATGTATATGTAAAATATGGAACGAATATTTGCATAATAATGTAAATTATGATACCAGTAATAATAATAATGGTAAATAACGACTATTACAATGCCAGGCAATATGCTTAATGCCTTATGTGCCCGTCTTACCTTGCTTTCTGATATCTGATTTGTGCTATGAAGAAGGCACTGTCATCATTATGCCCTTGGGACAGATGGGACCACTGGTCAAGGTCACCTACTTAACAAACAGCAGGTTCAGAATTTAAATCCAATTCTGATCCCATGGCCTTTGCTCATAATTACTAGGCTGTGCTATTACTAAAAAGCCATTCATTAATATGTTGGTGTAACAAGAGCATCAGCTTTAATATTTTCCTAACCCTGCCATGTTATACATTTAAACAAAGACATAGATAGCTTTATAATGAGCTTAATGACCGATATCATAAGTCAAAGGTTTACTAATACATAACCCCTAAACTATTAACAGGTGTTCCCCAAAGGAAGCCACTAATAATGGAGGATGGGGAGGGGAAAGGGAAGACAGCGCTCTGACTGTGTGTGCACCCACAGAGAACTCGCAGTAAAACCTGACGATAACAACAAAACATTGACCATACTGACATGGAATGAAGGATTCTACCAAAGAAGAGCAGCTGTTTCTCAGCTTAAGACCAAAAGACGTGTTTTTTGTTTTCTTTATTTTTATTAAGGATGTAATTTTGGAGGGCTGTTCACTGAACAGTGCAGGGCTGCCTGACAGTGAGGCCAGCCACGCACTGTAGAAGTACTTGATAAATGATCAGTGTGGGGAAACCAATATATCCTCCAAGGGTCCTCTTCTCATTGATTTTTCCACCTGAAAGTTGACTAAACCTTGACTACTCTATTTTAATATATCCAGATAATCCATTTAACTTACTAAATGTCAGTTTTGAGAACTAAAATCGAGTGTGGGGGATAAGTTCATTTTCCATAGAGTTGGAACAATTCATGTTATCCACAAAATCATCTACACTGTCATTTTTTTTAGCGACTCACTCCGGTGAACTTGGTAATTTTTTTATGCCCACCAAAAGAAATGCCATTTTAAAATACTTGTGGGTTTAATGTGAATTTCAAAGAGAAAACAAGAAAAAAATGGCTTTCTAAGTAAGAGAATATATTCCTTGAGGAGACAGAGAAGAGGAAACATGGTGAAAAATAAATCAGCTCCTCCTACCACTCGCGCACTAACATCTGAGAGGCGTGAGTCTTGGAACTGCAGTTAAGTCTCTCAAATGACCAGGGTGCTCTTCCTAACACGTGCATTGGAACGTGACAAAGACAGCTGCCTGGAGCTGACGAGGGCACATGCGTCCTGCAATTCAAATATACTTCCTCCGTGGGGGAGAGGTGATGGACGGCTGCTTTTCCTTTTTCACAGAGGTGACACTCTTGGTAGTGATACTGCACTGAGTTCCAATGACATTGTTCAATCTTAGTCTAGTCGGCCCAGAGGAGCACTCAGAGCCTGGCCATTTGCCACACATATTTTCTTTTATTAGGCAAAGAGAAGACTAAGTGACTGTCAAATGTTATAAAGGCTAGCGTTTTTTGTTTATCTTTAAAATTAAATGTATTAGGATGGCACTGGTTAATAAAATGATATAGGTTTCAAGTACACAATTCTATCATACATCATCTGTATATTGCATTGTGTGTGCTAGATTTTTTAAAAAATTAAAACTACAACTAAGTACTCTTCATGAAGTGTTTCTGTTTGAAATGTGAAAGTGTGTTGTGCAGGTATAGAATATGTATGAACTTGGCCTGTGTGTCCCTTGGTCTTTTGTTCTATTTATTTATCTATCTAAACTCTGTAACGTTAGAATGAGTCCATTATATTCCCACGTGGTATTTTTTTTAATCTGTAGGCAAAGGGAGCTATCGACGTTCTTCTCAGGTCTGTGCATTAATGTATTATATGGAAGTTGCCAGCCCCCAGCGAGTTATGAAGTACTTATTGAGTGAGAGGAAGAGAATGTCATATCTTTCAGCAGCTCTTCCCTCTTCTATTTATATCTCTAGTGGTTTCATTTATAATTCAGGAAATTCGGTTATCTATTGTAAGACTAAAAAGAAAAAGCTCTTCCCCCCTAAGGTCTCATTTCTTTCATGCTCTGTTTTGTCTTCCAAGTTGAATGTGGATGTTGGGAGTCCGGGGAATTGAGGGCAGGAGGAGAGAAGGGATGAGAAGGAGCAGGGCAGAACCTGCAATTCTGTAAGAAAGCTAGAGAAGCACCTTAATGCTATGGGAAACCGAGTTCCTCTCAGCTGCTGGATTTTACACCCTTGGAAACATGGCACACTGGAAGACAGGAAGCATTAGAAACGTAAAGCTCTCGTTCACAATAGTTTGACTTTCTAATCACATAACTCACAGAATAAAGTTATTAAAACTGTAGATTTGCCTCTTTCATTATTTGCTTATTCATGTAAGCAACGTGGTAGTAACCCTGGAACCTATTTGTTGCCAGGTGGGGGAGTAGGCGGAGTTAATTCTGAACGTAGGGAAGTACTGGACGGTTGGGTCTCCCATCTGTGCCACTGAGTCACATGGACCCAGGCGCCTTGTCCACCGCAGAACAGAAACGAATGGGCTCTTGTGGTTGTAACGTAGGAGCGCTGGACGGGCTGTCAGCTCTGGTGTCAAAGCCAACCAGCAGCGCGACCCCGACAGACAGGTCAGCCGCTCTGCACATCAATGTTTTTAAAATGACTAGATCAACCTGGACAGCCTTTGACTTCCTTTTCGGCTCTCAGATGATTGAAGTAACTAAAGCTTAGTTTAGCTTTTGCTACGTTTTATCTCTTTTTACCAGTCTTTCAGAAAGGGACTCATTTTCATCAGGTTCACATGGAGGCATGTTTCACTTCTTTGTCATGTACAGATGTCTTTCTCAGGAGTTATTGATATTTAATAAGACTAACCACAGGCATACCTTTTCAAATTTTTGTCAGGATGACAATTCTGTCTGGGTTTCTTGACTTCCCAGTTTTCCTTGTAAAAGTACTCTCGTGTATCCCTCCGTTACTCTGCCAGATCTATGGGGCGAATGGCCCCTGTCCCAGAGGCCGTTCACATCTATTATCTTCACATTTAGAGTGAGTTTCCCCCTGTCAGCAAGCATTACATCTGATACAGCATCTTCCTTGGTTGAATTCCATACTTCTTGGGTCATGAAATTATCCTTTATATTCTTTAAAGACCACTTTCATGCTGTGTATCAATGTGTCCACCCTCCTCCGGAGTCACCAAGGGCGTGGCTGACAGCCATGATTTCCGTGACTGTGTCGGCTGGAGTCCGACCAGAATGAGGGACCGCCCGCCCTTGGTCCTACACATGCGCACCTCTGCCTATGTGAAGAACTTCATGGTGTTTTTACTTCTAGCTTCACAGATGAACCACGCCTTTTCTCACAACAGGCCACTATATCTTTGATTTTTTCCCCCCAAATAAGGCTAAGTCATCTACAGCTGTATCTTTGCAGAAGATGCTAGATTGTAAACTATTTAAGAAGAAGGAACATTGCTTGTTTATTTCTGTCTCTCAGGGGCCAGAATACAACAGGAACTCAGTAAATGCTTGTCAAACGGCTGAGGACAGGCATATCTTCTCATTCGAATTTATTTTTCAGGTAGCAAAAAACCGTGCTGTTGCTCTCTCCATGAGAAAGATGTTCAAATGTAATTATTTAAGTGTGAGATAAAGTAATGTATTATTCTTCTTAAAGATCACTACCAAATTCTCATTTTGAAATATTTTCTGCCTCGTATCACAACATAGATTTTAATTGCCTTTCACAATGTCACACGACTGAGCTAAACGTTAAGGTTACATTCTCATGACACTGCCATCAAAAGCTATGTATGACTCAGCATTTTAAGGGATTGTCAAAAATTTCCCTCTATACTTACTTGAGTCTTGATGAACTCCAGGCAAAAACACAGCCCCAGATTTCTTCTTTTTTTCTTTTCATTCATGAGGTACTAAATCTCCTACTTTATCAAATCTTAGATGATATCACTTTGTATTAGCAAAGATATCTCTGCTGTATTTCATCCACATTAGTTTAAATAGGTTTTGCCCTTGTATTTATAACTCTCTGGTATATAAAATTTGGAGTCACTTTGGCTTATGGCAATGGCCCTTGATCTTATATACTTACTCACCGGATTTCTTTACCCTTTGATGTTTTAACAAATGCGATGGAGTCCATTAACCTTGCTCTTTTGGAATTCTCCTGTATAATCGTCTGCTAATATACTGAGGATGGGAAGTGGCTTCAGTGGAAGAGTGAATTCCACCATCTCACAATCAGTGGAGTCATCTGTTAGACACCTTCAAATGCTTCCGCTGTCATTCTAAGCAGATTACCTCCTCCACTGCCCATTTTAGGTAAACTAGAAGAAAAATAAAGACAAGAGATGATATGGTCAAAA